GTGGTGTGTGTGTCGCATGGAAATATGACAGTGGTTGAAGAGTTGAGGACAAGTGGTAGGGTGGACAGGGGTGGTAGTGGTGACAGGGTAATAGGTGACAGGGGTACTAGTGGTGGCAGGGTGGCAGTGGTGACAGAGGTACAGTGGTGATGGTGGATAGTAGTGGTGACAGGGTACTAGTGGTGCCAGGGGTAGCTGTGGTGAGAGTGATATAGTGGTTGACAGAAAGACAGGGTACTAGTGGTGATAGGGATGTAGTGGTGACAGGGGTACTAGTGGTGATGGGTAGTAGTAGTGAGGGTAGTAGTGGTGCCAGTGGTAGGGGTAGTAGTGGAGGGTGTGGTGGTGGGGAGTAGTGGGAAGTAGAAGTGGGGGGCGGTAGAGAGGTGAGCCAGTGAGATGGGTAGTAGTGGTGACAGGGTAGTAGTGGTACAGGGTAGTAGTGGTGACAGGGGAGTAGTGGTGGCAGGGTAGTAGTGGTGACAGGTAGTAGTGGTGACAGGTAGTGGTGACAGGGTAGTAGTGGCAAGGATAATGGAGATGCTGTGTCGGCTTAATGCCGTGTGTGTAGGGAGGAAGGGGTAGGAGGGGGGAGGTGACAGTGGCTGCCCAGATTACTGTGTTGGGGCCGAGCGGTCACCCACGGCCTTCATCCTTCACCATAGCAACACAACTCTACAGTCTGGACAACACACACACACACACGCACACACACACACACACACACACACACACACACACACACACACACACGAGTAATGAATAAATACATAAATAAAGTGTCACAAAATAAACAAACACACAAAAAGACATGACAATAAACAAAGAAACAAACAAACTCATATCAAAACATAAACAATCAATTAATAACAGACTATAACGATATGAAACTCAAAATGTAAAATTCAGTTTCTGTGACGAGACAAAATATATAAATAAATAAAAATGTAAAGTCTCCTCTCACGTCCCACACATCCATATCAATGCTTACCAACCTATGAATAATACATCCACATGAAGATAACGAATACACACGTGCGCGCATGTATTCCCTGTGTCTTGTGATGAAACGTTCAGGTAAATGATTTATTCCAGAGAGTGTTTGGTACGTTTCCTCTCGATTTTCGCGGAGTTCTATCTCTCTGCTATTCGCGAAAGTTTTCTCTCTCCATCAATTGATTTTCGCAAGAGTTCCATCGTTCTCTATTTTCGCCTAAGTTATAAGATCAAAAGACACTGTTCTTACTGGTGCCCCACATGCCTCCAGAAACCTGAATCTCGTTCCTTTCCTTCCCAGAGATTCTCATAAATAAGGCCAACGGATCAGTCAGTTCAGTCGTTTCCTCTTTTCGTGAAGTTTCTGATCAAAGAGGTTGTTCCTAGGAGTCTTCCACATGCCGCCTGAAACCAAATATCAATCCCTCCTTTCCAGAGATCCTTATATGAAAACACATAATCACCACTTCTAACTGAGCCCTCATGAGCTTATCCCCTCTGCAGATCATTAGGATTGAGGCTCCTAATAAGCCCCAAACTAAGCTAGTAGGATTGGGGCCCACTCACTGGTGCGCGCAATCCTAATGGCTAAGTTCAATTAAGGTAGGTCACGCCGGAGCTTAAAGGACTCGAGGCCCGTTTGGACTACAATCATTCTATCTCTTTTTGTCGAAGATGTTTTCAGGTCCAACAAACTGTCCTATAAACACACACTCCACATACCCCGAGATTCTAGCGATAGGAGAAAAAAGTCCGTAAAGGGATAAAATTCTCGCAGATAACTTCGAGCAACATCCAGCTGTGAGTGTTATCCGGGGCATCAAGGTACAGAGTATCCCAGGGAAAGAATTCATCAATACTCGTAAGGCAATTTTTTCTCCTCGTAACTAGAGAAGAGTTGAATTGGGTCAAGGTTAAATGAGCCCTAGTTTTAACGGGTTTCAATTTAAACTAATAATAAGAACTGGCCTTTTGGTGGGTTCTTTGGAGTTATGTCTGTTAGTACTGGGGTCTATTGGGTCTGGGAGATGGGGTCTATATTACCTGGGCACTAGGTCTATATTTACCCAGTAACAAAAATAATTACATGGTTATGATAGATTAAGTGTTATTTCGACACTATTCTGACAGTCAATTTGTGCTCATAGATAAAGAGAGTTGGATGCTTTCTTAAGTCACCAACTACGAGAGAGAGAGAGAGAGAGAGAGAGAGAGAGAGAGAGAGAGAGAGAGAGAGAGAGAGAGAGAGAGAGAGAGAGAGGCCACAACCTGCCTGCTGGCTGACCTTGGCCTACTTGTTAACACTTCCCCTTGCTTCCTTTTATCTCGATCTGCCCGATCACCAGCTACCACCAAAACCTGTGTTCAAAGCCACCCAGCACCACACCCAGCACCACACCTAGCACCACACCCAGCACCACGTCCAGCATCACAGCCAGCACCACACCCAGCACCACACCTAGCACCACACCCAGCACCACGTCCAGCATACCGCCAGCACCACACCCAGCACCACAGCCAGCACTAGCCACAGCCAGCACCTACCCAGCCAACATCAGTTAATCACACACCGCACTCGTAGCACCACATACAACTGACTGTAACCTGACCTTCCTGAGATGGCATACCAAAGGATAAAAGTCAAAATAAAACTTGTATTGTACTGTGTGGTGTGTGTGTGTGTGTGTGTGTGTGTGTGAGTGATGAGTGAGTGAGTGTGTGTGTGTGTGTGTGTGTGTGTGTGTGTGTGTGTGTCAACTTACCATACGTCCACTTGTTGTCGCTGAGCAGCTTCCAGGGTTGTATCTGTCAGTGTTGCGGACAGAAAGTCGGAGATGGACCAAGGTGATGCTGGAAAAACGAGAACTAAAAGGACAGATGGAGAGATGAGTAAACACACAAAAAAAAGTGGAGAGATAGAAACAGACAGACGGACAGAGAGAGAAATCAGACAGAAACACAGACAGACGAACAGACATAAACACAGCAACTTCCAGAAACTTAATAGCTCACGTTTTCTATCAGCTGTTGGGCCAAAGTTCCATCAATACCATCAGCTGTTGTCGAATTCTGAGGATTTCACTCTGATAAAGCCTATTTTTTCAGTTTTAAACACCGTCTTCAGCTGAGACTGAAAACGCCAGTGTTGTCCAAATGCTCTGAGTGTTTTACAGCAAGTTCAGACGGCCAGCAAAAAGTTCATGGATACAACAAGTTCGTGGATAGTAGAAGTCAGATGGATAGCAATAAGTTCAGATGGATAGTAGCAAGTTCAGATGGATAGCAATAAGTTCAGATGGATAGTAGCAAGTTCAGATGGATGTTCAGATGGATAGCAACAAGTTCAGATGGATAGTAGCAAGTTCAGATGGATAGCAACAAGTTCAGATGGTTAGTAGCAAAGTTCAGATGGATAGCAACAAGTTCAGATGGATAGTAGCAAGTTCAGATGGATAGCAACAAGTCAGATGGATAGAAACAAATTCAGATGGATAGCAACAAGTTCAGATGGATAGTAGCAAGTTCAGATGGATAGCAATAAGTTCAGAGGATAGCTAAATTCAGATGGATGGCATCAAGTTCACAGATGGATAGTAGCAAGTTCAGATGAATAGCAACAAAGTTCAGGATGGCAACAAGCAAATGGACGGCAATAAGTCAGATGGATGGAAATGGCAGAAGGAAGGAAGAAGGAAGGAAGGAAGGAAGGAAGAAGGAAGGAAGAGAAGGAAGGAAGGAAGGAAGGAAGGAAAGGAAGGAAGGAAGCAGAAGGAAGGAAGAAGAAGAAGGAAAGAAAAGGAAAGAAAGAAAGAGCAAGAGAAGAAAGAAAGAAGAGATAGATAGAAATAGAAGAGAGATAGCAAAAGAAAAAAAAGAAGAAGGAAAGAAATAAGTAGATGGAAAGTAACAAACAAAAGAAACAAAAGAACGGAACGACGGAAAGAAGGAAAGAAAGAAAGAAAGAAAGGAAGGAAGGAAAGAAGGAAGGAAGGAAGGAAAGAAAGAAAGAAGGAAAGAAAGAAGGAAAGAAAGAAGGAAGGAAAGAAAGAAAGAAAGAAAGAAAGAAAGGAAGGAAGGAAGGAAGGAAGGAAAGAAAGAAGGAAGGAAGGAAGGAAAGAAGGAAGGAAGAAAGGAAAGGAAAGAAGGAAAAGAAAGAAAGAAAGAAAAGAAAGAAAGAAGAAAAAAGAAAGAAAGAAGGAAGGAGATCATTTGTAAACATTAAATACGGAAAAACTGTGTAAAAGGAAATATCCAGAAAATTATATATTAAAAACTCATCCGTAAATAAAGATAATAAATAACAACAAAACCTATAATTCAAAAAAAAAAAATACGGAAAAATAAAATCATAATTGGTCACCTTCACAGATTAATTACGGTCCAAATTAGGTGAAATAAGTGAGAGGAGACGACTCGCACACACACACTTAAACCTGGCCATCCTTATCCAGGCAAATTAACTGTAAACACTACTAATAAGATAATTGGGAGGGAGAAGGAGGAGGAGGGAGGGAGGAGGGAGGAAGATGACTAGATGGATAAAAGGAGGGAGGGAATACAGGAGGATGTAAGGGGAGGGAGGGAGGAGGAAACACGAGAGGATTAAGAGATGGGTAGGGAGGGGAGGTGGGAGGAAGTATGGATTAATGAGTGAGGGAAGAGAAAGGGAGGAAGTAAGAGAGGGGAAAAAGGAAGTGAAACAAGGAAAAGGAGGGGTGGAGAAGGAAGGAAAGAAGTTAGGGAGGGAGGGAGGGAAGGAGGATGGAAGACGGGAAGGAAAGGGACAAATGACTCTCCATCAGGCGTGATTACCCAGTTAATGACAGGACACGTAACTGGGCCGCAGCTGTTAGCACGCCCTCAGTCAACAGTCAACAGGCAGGAAGTGATGGGTGACAGGTCAGGGGTGATGGGTTTGGTCTGGGGGTATCAGGTCCTTAGTCTGACTCTGGGCGATGGATCTGGGTCTTAGATCTAAGGGTCTTGGGTCTGAGGGTTTGGGTCTAGATGTAAGTCCTGAGGGTCTTGAGGTCTAAGGGTCTTAAGTCTGGGGATCTTGGTCCTGAGGGTCTTGGGTCAGGGGATGTTGAGGTCTGAGGTCTTGGGTCAGGGGGTCTTGGGGTCTGAGGGTCTTGGGTCAGAGGTCTTGGGGTCTGAGGGTCTTGGGGTCTGAGGGGTCTTGGGGTCTGAGGGTCTTGGGTTCTATGAGGTCTTGGGGTCTGAGTCTTGGGGTCTGATGGTCTTGGTCTGGGGGTCTTGGGGTCTGAGGGGGTCTTGGGGTCTCGAGAATCCTTGGGGTCTGAAGGTCTTGGGGTCTGAGGGTCTTAGGGGTCTGAGGGTCTTGGTCTGAGGGTCTTAGGGTCCTGAGGTCTTAGGGTCTGGGGTCTTAGGGTAATGGATATTCGTCTGGAGTCAGAGCTGACAAAAGTACGCCTTGGTTCAGGTCAAGTCTGAGCGCAATTTCGACGCTATTTTGACCACCATCACACCATACCCAATAAGAGCCCCACGAGACGCGTCACCCTTCACCAGGTTACGAGGGAAAACTGAACATACGAGATTTTAGGATCCGTAACGTCCACAGGTGAACCACAGGTGTATCAGCCAATGAGAGGAGGAGAGTTGGTACCATACTTGCCCAGGTGAGAATTGACCAGTTTGTATACACACACACACACACAGTACCTGTAAATAAGATAAAGTATTAATAATGCATTCAGAAGTATAATTGTGTATAAATCTAATTGATACATTTCTAAGACAAATCCTATCCTATTTATTTGTGTGTGTGTGTGTGTGTGTGTGTGTGTGTGTGTGTGTGTGTGTGTTTTATCTATCTACCCATCTATTTACGTCTTATCTGAACTCGTTTGCCTCTTTAGTATAGAGTGGATCAAGGAATTATAGAAACCTCAATGAAAAGAGAGATACTGAATAAAGCAGAAGATGAAAGACTTAAGAAGTAAGAAGAAAAGGAAGGATAAGTCAGTAATATTTGTATCTATTCATCATATCGTCTCATCTTTCTCCTTTAATTAACACCTCTCAGGTATGAACGTCTACCTGGTCAATCAATTGTTCATAGCTCTGGCTCCTTCACGCAAGATGATTGGGCGACGGAGGAAATAGGCCCCAGTGCTAATAGGCCCAATTGAACCTAATCATTAACACTGAAGCTTAAGACCAAATTGACCCTATTCTAGTGCTTACGTTATGGCCAATTATAGTTAGGATTATTGGCCTACAGTATTATGACTAAGGCCTAGGAATGGAACTTATCAGTAAGTGATTCCATTAGGATTGGGGATTATCATAATTCTGGATCCATTACATCTGGTGACTAACAGAACTGGGTCCTTAACACTATAGCTCATTAGTACCGGGGCCCAACAGAACTAGGGCCCATAGCACTGAGATATCAATACATCACACCCAGAAACTGGGCCCATTAGCACTGGATATCAATACTATGACCATCAGCACGGGCCCACAGAACCCTAGCAGAGATATCAATACGCTCAACTGAACAGAACTGGCCCATAGCACGAGATATCAATACAGACCATCACACGGCCCAACAGAACGCCTTAGCATAAGATATCAATACTATGACCCATCAGCACTGGGGCCCAACAGAACTGGGGCCCATTAGCACTGAGATATCACTATGACCCATCAGCACCGGGGCCCAACAGAACTGGGGCCCTTAGCACTGAGATATCAATACTATGACCCATCAGCACCAGGCCCAACAGAACTAGGGCCCATTAGCACTGAGATATCAATACTATGACCCATCAGCACGGGGCCCAACAGAACTGGGGCCCATAGCACTGAGATATCAATACTATGACCCATCAGCACCGGGGCCCCAACAGAACTGGGGCCCATTAGCACTGAGATATCAATACTATGACCCATCAGCACCGGCCCAACAGAACTAGGGCCATTAGCACGAACAACAACCCACACAACCCAACAACCCCACAAACAAAACACACACCCCAAAAACACCCAAAAAACACCACATCAGCACTGGGCCCACAAACTAGGCCCTAGCACTAAGATATCAATACTACGACCCATCAGCACTGGGGCCCATCTTAGCTTCAAGGAAACAAAAGAACGAGAAAACAAAGAGAGTGGAGGGAGAACTTGGCACGATGTCCTATGAGCCGAGACTCACGAGGCTTTGATCATAAAGGAGACTGATATAATGATGCTCACATATCTTACTGTGTTCTGGGCTGATAGCGACAACTTAAGAAACAGTGATGTATAATGATTAATGTGTAGTGGTATATATATATATATATAGCATACGTTTAAGGGTACTACTGAAATTGTGATAATATATATAATATATAATTTGGTTTTAGTTATGATAAATGACGTCTTCAATAAAACAGAACAAATAAAAAACACATACCAGCTATTTCACACACACAGCGATAAACACAAGAGTTATACCTATTGAGAAAAAAATGGTCAGGGTTTTCTTGTAATGATTATCCCTATTTAGTGTACTGTATATATCACACTAACTAGGGTGGGGGGTGGGGCTGGTTGGCTTGGGGAGGTGGGTTTGCTGGTTAGGTGTTGGAGGGTTTGCTGGAAGGGTGAGGTGGGGTTTGGCGGTTAGTGGGGGAGGGGTTTAACCAGGTGGGGAGGTGGGTTAGCCAGGTGGGGAGGTGGGTTTAGCCAGGTGGAGGAGGTGGGTTTAACCAGGTGGGGGAGATGGGCTTGACCAGATCAATAAGTGAGCACTTCTGTAAGGCCTAGAGGATGGAGACGGATGGGTGGTGGGGTGGGGACGGATGGGGAGAGCGGTGGGGAGGAGCAGGGTGGGGAGGAGAGCGGTGGGGTGGGGAGGAGGTGGGGAGGAGGGTGGGGTGGGAGGAGTCGGGTGGTCTGTATGGGGTAGGGAGAGAGAGGATACAGTGCCCTGCCTCGGTCTTTGATCACAGAGTTAGGGGACCGAAGGAGGTCAGTGTCCGCCCTCCTGAAGGAGCCCCGGTAGGGTTAGAGCTTTACCATAAATAAATTTCAGCACAATAGACACCTAACCTAACCTAACCTAACCTAACCTAACCTATACACCACTACACCGTAAGGATAAAATATGAGGAGGGGGGGGGATTAAAATTCTACAGGGGGAATCATAGTAAATTACAGGCTACAGAACAGGAACACAATTATATATATATATATATATATATATATATATATATATATATATATATATCATATTTAAATCTCCACACTACGGTATTCCAAGACTTCCGCTACATGTCTCACGCCGGCAGCATAACGAACGAGAGAGTAGCAAGATGTTCAATCGAGAAGAGATGGACTCAGATTCCTTCGTTACGACAACAATGAAGGAATCAACATAGGGACGGAATAATATGACTCGATTAAATTGTTTTCGTGGGAGGCCAGAGGACCCTAGGAGAGGTAATGTAGGACTAGAAGACCTTCAGTAAGCACAGTAATGTAAGTATCGCTTGGAACACGAATAAGTTAGATGGATAAGGAATATTTTGTTTAAGACAAGGACCCTCCTCCTCCCGCCTAGCGATGATACTGTGTACTGTTTGGGGTATTTGTAACTCACTCCCCCTGGTTATAACATTATCAAGGACGTTACATATCAAAGCTGGAACAATTCTCAGTCTAAAAACTTCACATACACAACACTGACTCCTCTTATTATCTTGAGATGTATTTGGGAACTGCCGGAGAAGCCTTTAAGCACTCCGACTCCAAGACAGTTCATAAATTTGCCAGGTGAAAAACACAGGAAGGACTCGTTCACCAGTTTGTCCTCACTTATAATGACTACCGGACCAGCAGTATGAGTCATCGTGTTGTAGGATGTATAAAATATATCTAGAGGGAAGTAAAGGTCGCCTTAAGTATAGTCTGAGAAGATAATATCAACACAGGAGACTCTGGACTATTATTGAACTCTGTAAACAAATTAAAATTTAAACGAATATTTTTAGCCAGAATGATCGATCCAGATACAAAGTAAATAACAACAACATAAACAATATTAACATGGCTGAACCTGTCAGGGGCTGGAGCTCTCTTAAAGGTACCTGATATATACTGTATGCTTACCTGAAGAAAATCACCACATAACATAACAGCCACGACTGGGAAGGGAGTGTGGTGGACCTCTGACCTCTAGCGCTGACTTCAATAAACCAGTTCCCTCGCGGGACAAATTTGTAAAATCTGAAACCCATCTGATCTCTGGTCTGTAGCAGTAACCTTTAATACACGTTATAGCACATCTGACCTTTGACCTCTAGCTCTGGACTCTAGTACACTCTATAGCACATTTGACCTCTGACCTCTAACCTTTAATACACCCACACACTCATGCTGTCACTACATGTAACTCGCCGACATAATCCATGGCCTTTCAGGCACTTGCGCCCTTAATGCATGAGTCAAGAAGGCAACCCTGAACTCCGCATGCTTCCCTGTTGGGCGCTGTGAACGCTTCGCCTTGCACAGGATGCAAGGGTGTGCCCAATAAACTAGCCCCCTCGCGGGGCAAATCTGAAAATCAAATCTGTTATAATACATCTGATCTTTGACCTCTAGCTGAGGCTTTGATCTTGGACAATGAGACTAATGTGGTCCTGTGCACGGAGTCTGGTGGTGGTGCACAGGTGAACCATCATTATATAGTAACGTCTATATCGATGCAAGATATACTTTGTGGGAAGGGAAAATTTTACGACCCTCTGGCGTGCGCAGAGAGAGAGAGAGAGAGAGAGAGAGAGAGAGAGAGACCAGGGTTCACACTGTGTCTTCAAGCAATATACGTGAAAGCACTGGAAGCTAGCTGGCTGGCTAGGGTCTAACAGATTGTCCCAGTGCTGAGTTTGTCCTAGGGAGGAGATGGAAGGGAGAGGGAGGAGATGGAAGGGAAGGGAGGCGAGGGTCGGGAGGAGAGAGGAGAAGGGGAGAGAGGAGAAGAGGATATAGGAGAAGAGCGAAGTGGAGGAGGAAGGAAGGAAGGGCTGGGCTAGTGAGGAGTGGAGGGTGAGGGGGCGGAATGTAGGGTCAGGAGTGAAGGGTGAAGGAGAAGGCTGCGAGAGTGAAGGAGGACAGGAGAGAGAAGGAGGGCTGGAGGACACTCTGCCAGGCCTCCTTCTCCACCACGGCAGTTTTAAGAGGAGCATCGTATCAACTCACCAATCCTAAGGGGAGTCAAGTTAGGTCACGTTACGTCATATTACGTTCAGTTCATGGTGGCTTAAACAAGGTTAGGTTTAGGTTACATTAGACGAGGTTTTGGTAGAGTTACGTTGGGTTATATTACATTTGGGTCAAGTTAGGTTAGGTTAGGTCAGTTATGTTTTATTTAGGTTAGTTTTCGATTAGGTAAGGTTAGGCTAGGGTTGGATTGGATTGGGTTTAGATTAAGTTAGGCTAGATTTTGGGTTGATTGGTTGGTTAGGTTAGGTTTAGGTTAGGTTAGGTTAGGTTAAACTAGACCACTGACCACAGTATCACGAGTTTCAGTTGGCTCATTATCACCCAATCAAGATGTGTGTGTGTGTGTGTGTGTGTGTGTTCAGAACATCACCTGGAAGCCACTGACGACCTGCA